GGCGGCGGCGGGCAGCCCGGGCGGGGCAGCGAGGGTCTCGTTGCGGCAAGGGGACCAGGTCCGGTTGCCGGCCGGGTTGGATCCTGCTCGGCTTAGCCGGTGCGAGCGTGGCTTGGACGCTAGGGGGCCTGCGAGCTCCTTGTCTCCCGCCGCCCGCTCCCGGCCGTTCCGGGAGAAGATGACCGAGAAGATGATCGGCGGTCCTGGGCCGCGGAGTACGGTGGTGGCTGGAGGTGGCACAGAAGTCTCTTTTTACAGCCGAGGAAGGGGTGGACCGGGAGGCGTCCCGTTTGCCTCCCCGAGATCGTTCTAGAGGAAGGCTCCCAAATGTGACCTACTTGTGAGGATTCGCGTCGCCCGGACGCTGCCGCACCGTGACACGGTGACATGGACCCACTACGTTAAGTGCTCACACCTCCAGCGACATAAATAGGTTTCATACGCGTGAATGTAAGGCAAATTCATCCTCTACCTTTCTCTCCCCCTTTGGCCTCTCCTATAATGCAAATACGGTATTTGTCCAGTCCACACCCTCCCGTCAAAAATTCCAGGGTAAATCCCACCTACCTTTTAGATTCCACACTTCAAAAACTCAGCATTAAGTCACGTGCTCTCCTACGTGTAATTGTCTTCATTTTCTCTCTACCCCGAGAACACTAGCTGCCAACTGATCCTTTTTTTTTTTTTTTTTTTAAATCCAGTAGACTTGGTGGAAATACGATTAGTTACATTTGTGGTAATGGACTCCAAGTTGCAGGACATAAATCATACTTTTTTTCTTTTGTGTCCCTTTTTGAAACATAAGCAAAGTCTTGTTCTTTCTGCTTTCATGAGATCTTAGGTCAGTCACCCTTCCACTGATTCTGCTCACATCCCATGCACTCTTCTCTTTAGTTTGGATTGCAACATAGCCAGCCACTGGTCTGCCCTTCCAAATACTAATTTGCCTCCTCCCACTAGTCACACCCCCACCAAAGCAATTCTATTAATTTGACATCCTCTTACTTAAAACCTCTGATGGCCCATCATACTTGGAATAACCTCAAAATTTCTTATCATAATATGCACGATGCTTCATAATCCAGCTGCTGACCCTCTGTCTGATAGCCCTCTGACATGGTTGGCGGTTTAGTCACACAAGACTTACTCATATTCCTACCTTACACAAGACCGTCCTTCCTACCCTCTGGGCTTCCACTGCTGGGGCCGGTCTTTCCTATTAATCTTCAGTTAACTTGCTCTTTCCCATCACTTATTTCTGCTCAAGTAGTTTTCCTTCCTCAAGACCGTCCCTGTTTTGACACGGTTCTCATACATTCATTTACAAGTATTAAATCCTCTGTCCATCACTAGAGGCTGGAGTAGGGTAGGTGCCTACCATCATGAAGTAGACTGTAGTTGAGACGGTGAGCGCACACACATATATTATACAGTAGTGGCATAGCAATTAAAAGGAGGATATGGAGTATCAGCAGGGCAGGTGGGCTTTTCTTTTAAAAGTTCAACGCTTAAGGGAGGTTTTGTTAATAAAATGACATTTGAAAAAAGAACTCAAAATGAGAGCAGAGAGATGAGGTATGCTCTGGGAAATTATCTAAATTACTGGGTGTGGGAAATGAGAATAAGAAATCAATGATTACTGGGTTTTGGTTCAAACAACTGTAAGCACAGAGGACCTATTGGGATGAGGAAGACTTAAGGAAATGGGATGGGCAAACATCTTTAGTTTATTTTTTTAGGGAGGAGCTTGTGGGAGGTCTGAATTTACTTTGTTTCAGCTATGTTAGGATTGAGATTTGTGGTCATCAAAATGGAAATTCCCAATAAACAGTTGGACATGAGTGTCTAGCATTCAAGGGCAGAAGCCGTAGCTCAAGATAGTAACTTAGCAGTTGTCAACGTGTAGTTGGTGTCTAAAGCCCTGGCACTGGATGAGGTCACAAACGGGAATAATAAAGGTAGTAAGGAGAAATTCATTTAAGTAGCAAGGAGAGGTAGTTCCAAGACTGAACTCTGGATCATCCTGGGTTTATGGGTTCAAGAGAGGAAGGCAAGCCGGCTAAGAAGCTGTGGAGCAACAGTAGCTAGCGGTGGAGGAGAATCAAAGCTGTGTCCCAGAAGCCAAGTGACTTCTTCACAAATAGTGTCTTCCAAGGAGAGAGTGACCAACTGGGTGAGATGTGAACAGAGAACTGACTTGCATATAACAACAGTCCCAGTGGCCTTGCTGAGCTATCTCTTTTAGGTAGTGGGTATAAGGTACCAGGAGTGAACCAAGCCGTGGTGGTGCACACCTTTAATTCCAGCACTGGGGAGGCAGAGGCAGGCAGATCTCTATGAGTTTGAAGCTAGCCTGGTCTACAGAGTGAGTTCCAAGACAGCCCAGGACTGTTAAACAGAGAAACCCTGTCTTGAAAAACTGACACCCCCTCCCCCCCCAAAAAAAGTACCAGGAGTGAGGATAAAGAGCCAAATGGACAAAAAGCAAATTCGGACACTTTGAAGGAATTTGGCGTCACAGTGTCTCTGGGAGAGCAGTAATTCAAAGGGACTCTGCTTTTGAAGGAGGAAGCTGTGACTGTACTGATCGATCGGATTGAATTGGTAAAGGATACAGTTGATGATGCAGAGGAAAGGAGGGGCAGCCCCTAGAACCACTACAGCAGGTTTGGCAGCTTGGGTTCTCTATGAGCGGAAACAGAATCTGGAGCACTAACATTTTTTTAAGGGTTCAAGACCTGTGAGAAAAAGAAGGAAGCCAGATGGGACAGAGGAAGGATGGCGCTGATCCCACAAATCGTCAGCCAACCCTGGAGCTCTGGAGTGAGTACTGCTCTCCAGAGGTCCTCAATGCTGGCCCCCCAAATCACTCAGTCCTTGCATACAGGCTGCTCCAGGAGGGGTATGAATTCAGGGGGAATGACAACGACTGTATATGTTCTGAAGGAGGTGACGGATGGAGGCTCTCAACTTTACAGCTAGGGATGGATCTGAATCTCACCAGTCCAACTCTGCCACTGAAGATGAGAGGATGTGGGATCTAGTACACAAGCGGAAGAGTTGTTCTTAGTATAGACAACTCCTACGTATACTTTAATCTTTGTTCTAGGTAATTGATGAACAATAGAGGCTTATTAGTTTATGGTTCTGGAAAGTGAGAAGTCCAAAAGCATGATGTCAGCAACTATGAAAGGCCTCACTGCTGTCAGCACAGCCGAGTACATCATATGGGGGCGGGGGGGGGGGGAGAACGGGTTTGCTAGGTCAGATCTCTCTTAAAGCCTTTTCTAATTCTAATATGTTTTCAACACATGAAATTTGGGCAACACATTGAAACCATAGCAATGGTAATGAGGAAATTCAGAAGCTATGTGTTCAAATTCAGGGTGGCAGATATAGTGAAAGTTTCAGAAGTTCTGCTTCCTGTAAGTTTCTTGGTAAATTTAAGTATAAAGTCGCTGACAGTGAGTGAGTTCCAGAGAAGGCTGCTGAGATTTGAGGAGATTGGAAATTGGACTAGTTTTATAGGCTAATGGAAGATGACAGGGTTAAGCAGGTAGCTTTTCCAAGCAGCTGCAAGGAGCCATTGAGATTAGTGGTTGTGACATCAATGAGTTCGGCTTTATTGTTCTTCCTGTGTCTGGATACCTAGTAGTAGGTATAAAGATGGCAGGAAGGGAGAGAGAGGGACAGGAAATATTTAAGTAGGTTGGAACTTCTCTAAGCAAATAGCTAGATAGAAGGGCAAAGGCCGATTGAGCTGAGGATATGTACAGATAGTGAAATCAGTGGACTATAGACTCTCAGTAAGAAGAGAGGTAAGGACAAGAGTAAACTTAGAAGGGGGCAGGATTAGTGAGATCTTTCTTTTTCTTCAATTATATTTTTTATTAGCATCTGCAAATTCTGTTTTATGTCTGTCTCCCAGCTGGGTGGTGGTGGCACACGCCTTTATTCCCAGTACTTGGGAGGCAGAGGCAGGTTCTCTGTGAGTTCGAGACTAGCCTGGTCTACAGTTCAGGACAGCCAAGGCTACACAGAGAAACCCTGCTGTGGGATGTCTTTCTGTATGCTGTGAATATGTGTTGCTCTGATTGGTTGATAAATAAAGCTGCATTGGCCAATGGCAGGGCAGGATGGAGCCAGGTGGGAAAATCCAAGAGAGAGAGTGAGAGGAGAAAGAGGAGGAAGAGGAGCTGCTAGCTGCCACCCAAGGAGCAACAAGATGCCAGCAGACCGGTAACACCATGGCCAAGTGGCAAAACAGATCAATAGAAAAGGGTTAATTTAAGATGAAAGAGCTAGCTAGCAAGAAGCCTGCCATAAGCCATAGAGTTTGTAAATAATATTAAGCCTCTGAAT